ACTCTTCTTTAAGTACATAAAATTAAGGGTAATGTTAGCTAATAGCAAAATTTGTGTTGTTTATTTTGTTTTATTTATTTATTGGTTTTTTGAAATAGGTTTCTCTGTAGCTTTAGAGCCTGTCCTGGAACTAGCTCTTGTGGACCACGCTGACCTCAAACTCAGAGACACCCGCCTGCCTCTACCTCCCGAATGCTGGGATTAAAAGCATGCACCACCACTGCCCGGCTTTTTTCTTTCTTTAAGATTTTATTTTAAATCATGCATATATGTGTCTGCCTTTGATGGGTATGAGCATGTGGGTGCAGATGCTTGTGGAGGCCAGGAGAGGGCACCAGATCCCCTGGAGTCCCAGGCAGTTGTGAGCCACCCGACCAGGTGCTTCCAAAAACAGCTCTGGTCTTTTGCAAAGCAGCTGGTGCTCTTAATCACAGAGCCATCTCTTTCCACCTTTGTTTATTAACTGGGGGCTGAATGTAGAATTTGGCGTGTGGAAGGCAAGTGCTTTACCTCTGAGCTAGGAGCCATGCTTTTGCTTTGAATTTGTGATCCTCCTGCCTCATCTTACACACAAGTACCTGGGATTACAGACCTGTAGCAACAGGCCTGGCTACTGTTGGTATGCTTTTTGTTGCTTGTTTGATTTTTTTTGTGGGGGAGGGGATATGTTCCAGATTGGTCTGGAATGTTCTATGTAGCCCAAGCTGGTCTTGAACTTTTAATGATCCTTTTGCCTCAGCCTCTCAAGTGCTGTGCACTTACAGATGTGAGCCACCGGAGTTGGTATTTGGTGCTTTTTAATTTTTTGGCCATCTGTCTATTCTCACAGTGAGATGTTTGTTCTTATTTCTTATTTTTTATTTACTTACTTACTTTTGCCAACTTTTGCTATTTATTTCGAAGAATAGGGACCTCCTGTGTAATCCAAGCTGGCCTGGAACTCTCTATGTGTCCTAGGCTGGAATTTACAGTCCTCTGTGTCAGATTCAAGAATGCTATGTCTTTTCTCCTGAGCTGGGCCCAGCCCTCTGCTTTGCTGTTTTCCTCTCAGGACCACTGTGATTCTTGGCTCTCGGTAATCCGGGCTTGTTCCCTAGGGAACTGGACGCCATGCAGGTTTATTTGATTACCGTTCCTCAGAGAGATTTTCCCAACTTTTCTCTCACCCCAGCTTCTGCTTTACAACACTTACATAATACATTGCATTACCTATCAATTTGCTTTTTGTTACTGCTTCTTCCAATTTTCAGCTCTATGAGAAGCCTGAAGCAAGCTTACTGCTCTATCTCCAGGGCCCAGTTAGCACTCGGTAAATGATTCACTGCCTGACAGGATGAAGGGATGAATAACTGTGAGCTAAATGAGAAATTTACTTCTTGGTCAGGAGCTTGTTCTGACTTTGAACGCCCCCTCTTGGGAAGTCAAATTTGTTCAGGAACAAAGGTCATAAATCAAAACCTTAAGATGACAGAAGAGGTGGTGGCCACGAAGAGACTGAAGAAACCAGTGGAGGTGGTGAGATACTGGAACACTTCTCCCTGGAACATGAGCTTCCTGTGATTTCTGTGGGTTAGGGGAAAGAGATAACTTGCTCCTTATCCTTGTGAGTTCTTCCTTTTTTAAAAAATGGGGTTTTATGTAACCTGGATTTGAACTTCTGCCCTAACTCCCAAATCCCGGAACGACTGTCATGTACAACCTTACCTGCCTTCCCTGTGAGTTCTTCAATATCCACACAGCCACAGCACTTACCCTCAGCAAGGTCTGGATACCTTAACAGCTAGGTAAAGTTAAGACAAAATTAGCCATCTTAACAGTTTACCGGTTTTCTTCAAATAAACATCTACTCAGGGGCCCAAGCAAGAAGTCAGCCAGGTGTCATTCCTTTTGCAGCTCTCTGGTGTCTGGAGTGGAAATGAATTCTTACTTTTCTTTCTCCTTTTTTTTTGTGTTTTTTAGAGATGGGGTTTCTCTGCATCTGCCCTGGTTGTCCTGGAACTCACTCTGTAGACCAGGCTGGCCTCGAGCTCACAGAGATCTGCCTGCCTCTGCCTCCTGAGTCCTGGGATCAAAGGCGTGTGTCTCCACACCTGGCCACGTCATATTTCTTTGACAACTTTATATTTTGCTTTGAACCCAGTAGTAACATATGTATAGTAAGCCATACAAGCAAAAGAAATGGAGCAGTCAGCTCTCAGTTTCATGGCTCTTGTTTCTAAGGCATCTGCTTGGCTCCACAGCTCTCAGAACTGAGGCCTCCAGGAGTGCTGAGTTACTGGGGTTGACAGACAGGCAGCTCTGAAATGCTTTCTCACGGTACCTTGTAGTGATGTGTGGAGAGGAAGCCTTCACCACCACCAGGGTTGATGCAGCAAGTGGGCGGCTCCCATCAGCCTCCCACCTTCTGGTTGCAAGGATTTGGCCTGTGACCATCCCTCCCTTTCTCCACATTCTAAATTCCTGAGAAAAGCCAAACCTAAATGATTAAGATATTACCTGATAATCTTTTAAAATAACCAATAAAATCCAGCATCTCTGGTGATGTCCTGAAATTTGAAAAAATGAAATTTATGCCCTGGCAATGCTGGAGCATGCACGGGCAGCCTGCACAAGGCGGTTCTGTTGAACCTGTCCATGTTGGGTTTCATGGTCTAAGCTGACGAGGACGACTGACCAGGCCTCTTCCTCAACAGGGCACCAGATCTCATGACAGATGGTTGTGAGCCACCGTGTGGGTGCTGGAACCTTTGGAAGAGCAGGTGGTTCTCCTAACTGCTGAGCCATCTCTCCAGTACCCTGGTGAGATCCTACTAACATCAAAATGGATCTAGGTCTGAATCAGCTAACACAAATCAAACACTTGGTAATAGGTTGAATGTTTAGGAAAGTACCCCATGGAGTCAAGGTTAATCAAAATGTTCCAGTCAGAGGGTGATAAAGATCCTGGTCATATGGTCTTCCTGCCCATTGCCCCCAGGCTCCTTTCTGTCCCTATAAAAATCCATTGTCCCTGACTTTCTGTTGAAATAGGAGCGGCGGGGCTGCATCCCAGGCACCCGGCCGCCCGCATGGCTAGCTTATGCCCAGAAATAATTACACGGAAACTGTATTCTTTCAAACACTGCCTGGCCCGGCTAGTTCCAGCTTCTTATTGGCTAGCTCTTACATATTGTTCTTACCCATTTCTAATATTCTGTGTAGCCTCTCACCAATACTTAGGTCCTATAACCCAAATACGAGGCTGGCTTGGGATAACTAAACCCACCTGCCTTAGTCTATCTTGTGGCTTTTAACAGAATGCCTGAGAATGGTTATTTTGTAAAGAAGGTTTATTTGACTTGTGCTTTTAAAGGCTGGGGAGTCCTAGGTGATGGCATTGGCATCTGCTCAGTTTCTGGGGTATGTATATATGTGTGGGTGCATATGCTCATGTATGTATGTGGAAGCCAGAAGATAGTTCAGATGGCTTTCCTCAGGGGTCTCCTATTTTTTGAGACAAGGTCTTAGGCTTGCCAGTGAGCTACAGGGATCCCCCGTCTTCACCTTCCCAGTGCTTGGATTATAGGCATGTGCCACCATGCCCAGCTTACAAATCTCTTCTTGATGGGGTTGGAGGATGGTTCAGCGTAAGAGCATTGCCTGTTCTTCCAGAGGAACTGAGTTCAATACCCCGGAAACCACATGGTGGCTCCCAAACATCTGTAATGGGACCTGACTCCCTCTTCTGGCCTGCAGGAATACATGCAGACAGAACATTGTACATAATAAATAAATCATTAAAAAAAAAATCTCTTCTTGGTAAATGCCAACTCTTGGGACTGGGAAGATGATAGCTCAGCTGGCAAAATGGTTGCTGTGTATTTTAAGGATCTGTGCTTGGATCCCTTGTACCTGAACGGAAGCTGGGCATGGGGATAGAGAGAGGTCTCAGTGTTAACCCACTTGCTGTTCTTGATGAGGACTCCTGTCCATCTTCCAGCACCCGCACGACAATTGGCAGCCACCTGTCAGTTACAGGGGATCTGACACCCTCTTCTAACCTCCACGGACACCAGATATGCACCCGGTACACATGCATACATTTAGAAAAACCACTCATACACATAACAATCTAAAAAGGAAAAGCCAGGCGGTGACATGTGGCTATATATCTCGGCACCGTGGTGACCAGAGCATCCCTGAGGCTTACTGCCTGTTGGGGGCTGTGGACCCCCAGACCCTGAATTTCCTGTAAACAACGTGTTATGCTTGCAGCTGCTCTGAGCAAAACAACTTGTTTTCCTGTGTTTGCAGCTGCTCTGAGCACGAGACCCTCAGGCGGTCCTGATGGCAGGGGAATGGTTTCTGCTGGGTTTGGCTGGGGTGGCTAGCAGTTAAGGATCCCTATATAAGCTGCCTTGGAACACAATAAAGGGAGCATTGTTGAGGAATTCAAGGGTGACCTGTGTCTCTATGAATTTCAATCTCCAGGTCCCTTTCCCGACTCGCAAACCTTCCTGTAGTACAGGCATAGTGTGTAGAGCACAGGGCAGACATGACATTGCGTTACTAGTTTAGCTAAACTGGGAGTTCCATGTTCCGTGAGAGACCTTGCCTTTAAAAAATAAACTGCATCCCTGGCCTGACTCACTGCTACAGACCTCAAAATGGATGGCAGAATGTAAGACTTTTTTTTTTTTTAACCTATGTAGCCCAGGCTAGCCTTAACTCACAATTCTCCCTCAGTCTCCTAGTGTGCGATTACATGTGTGCACTGCCACGCCTGGCTGGGACTCATTTTTATTTCAAACAAAAATATTTGCTTCCCCCAGGGCAAGGCATCAAATGAAGAGGGAAGAGATACGGCACAAAGCCCGACTGCCTGCCCAGAAAATCCTCGGTGAACAATGGGCCGGGAAGCCACTTAGCCCACGTGGAGCCTGCCAAAAGAAACCGCAGTGAACCGGGGACCTCCACGGAAACGGCACAAACAGCAGCCGCATTAAACTACTGGATACACGTTCATTTTGTATATCTTTATTTTAAAAAAAAGTATAGGAAACGAATAAGATGTTATCTAAAATGTCTCTACATTAAATAAATTATTTTCATGTATGCACGCAGAGCTAACCTGCACTGAGGTTGCAGCTGATGGACTCTGGCTTGTCCCCAGGAAGAGCCAACCTTTTCTTTCCATATGTAGCCACAGGACCAGCCGATGGGTGCAAAGGCTGGATCAGCAGAGGAGCCAAGGTGGAAAGGCACTGGGCTGCACACAGTGAGAACCAACACATGAGAGTGATCTCCCCAAGGGGCACTTGAAAGGCAGAAGTCAGTGGAGAGCCACCCCCCAGCATGGTGCCTCCAAGTGAAGGTAGGGGCCACAGCTGCCCCTGCCCTTCCTGGAGGGTGTGGAGCACCTTGGGTAGCTGGGTAGGAGTTAGAGGAAAGATGCATGAGCAGCACCTGGAACATGATTAAAAAGTGAACCCTCCTTTCCGGAGAGAACTCAAGAGGTCCTTCAGTTCAAACCTTCCAGGAGATCCCCTGAGTGCACTGTCTCAGAGGCGTCATGGGCCAGATGATGAGACCCTCTCCAAGGTCCACGTCCTGGGCATTATGAAGCTCATTTATTTCTCGAAGGCTTGACAGAGATCCTGAACTCTGTAGTGTGCTAAGCTATACTAGCATGGCTTTCTCTCTAGATCAAAGCAGGAGGGACTTTCGCTCTCTCCTCGCTCTGTGATGGGAGCTCCGCTCTTTGCCTTTCAGAGTCAGTTTACAGACAAAGCACATAGCGTCAGAGACGAGGCAACAGGGAAAGATATATCTACATCTATAGATAGGCATATAGATACATATATATATATATATATATTTTTTTTTTTTTTTTTTTTTTTTTTTCCGAGACAGGTTTCTCTGTGTAGACCAGGCTGTCCTGGAACTCACAGAGATCCGCCCACCTCTGCCTCCTGAGTGCTGGGATTAAAGGTGTGTGCCACCACTGCCTGGCTTAATTATATATCTTTAAAGGATCAAATTATTCTCAAAATTTGTTTCAATGTCGAAGTATTGCTGCAGCCGAGAGAGCCACACACCACACAGCACAGCTCATGGAAATTTCTCTTACTCCTAGGAGTAGGGGACAAGGGGGTCATTTCTGCAGGGGGCAGCTGTGCAGTGAAAGAGGACTGGGAAGTCTTTAACAAATAAAATACACACATGCACACTCTTCTGGCTGGGTAGGTCTAGTGTAGAAACCAAAATGCAGACATCCAAACCAGGCAGCACGAGATCAAACCACTACACTACATCAACAGGAGCTTCGTTTGTTTTTAAAAGAGGGTCTGACGTGGACCAACACACTGGGCAATGACCTTCAAATCGGATCCCCATGCATCGACTTCCCTGGTGCTGGGACTGCAGGTGTGTGCCACCATGCCTGGGTCTATGCAGTGCTGGGGATGGAGCCCAGAGCCTGTGCATGTCAGGCAAGCGTTCTGCCAACTGAGCTGTACCCCCAGCTCCACATCCAACTTTTTAAAACATAAAGGACCACCAAATAAATACTACTACTGTTACTACTATTACTAATAAAAAAAAGCACACTGTCATTGTCATCCAGAGCACTCCAGTGAGAGCAGACCTCGAGCACAGCTCCTGGGAATCTGCCAAGTCTCTGCTGCTTAGCATTGAGAATCCAGGGGTCACTGTGGTACCGTCTGGGTGGACCATGTCTCTCTTCTGTCACTGTGGCCAGCCCCAACACAACCTGAGTTCAGGAAACCTGAGCTGTTGCTGGCATCCCCATCAGAAGCCATGATTTGCTCATCACTGGAAGGAGTCCACCAGGAAATCAGGAGTCGGTGGCATCTTGCAAAACCTACTTTTCCTTCAGTAGATTGCTCTGCCATCTGACTGTTGTTTAGGACTTCTCAACGCCTGGTGCCACATCTCAGCAAAGTCTTTGGAATGGGGCCCAATTATTCTTCTGTCTCCACTGGCCCCTGGGTGTTGAGTAAGGGGATGTCCGTCTCCCTGACACCTACCTCCCCCTTGCTGGGGTGTGAAAACGTGTACGGTTCACTCTCAGACTCAGGAGGGCTACTTGGGGCTGGCTCATCCGCAGTGAACTTTGCAGTTGGGGTCCTGGAGAATACTGGGGGTGGGGAGGGGGGGCAGTCCCCCATGGGGCCCTGGAAGGGCCGGTAGGTGTCCACCTCCGGCTGGATGAAGGATCCACCGGAGTCTTGCAGCAGGTGGCCATACACCATGGTGTCATCGATGACGGCGTATACATGGGAGTCATTGTCCTTTCGTCTTTTCGGGAACTTTTGAGCCTGGGGCACCTGGGTATTGACATTGCCATTGTAGATACCCACAGCAGGGCCCTTGTTGACCTTCTTCCTGTTTGTAGAGGGCGAACAACAGAATGTGTCAGATGAGTGACATCTCTCACTCAATCCCTGAAGCCTATCAGCAGTTGGAACTGAAACTGTCTTAGCAAATAGCCGTTGTCTCAGGTTTCCAAGGCAGAAATTGAGGAATCATAAATGGAAGAGGTGGTTTAAATGATTGTGTTTGGACTCTGACAGACTCCAGGAGAACCAACAACGGAGATACTTTGTAATCTCCCTTCCTTCCCAGTAATAGGGATACACAAGCCTTTCTAAACCACATCAGCTCAGCATGCCCAGGTCAGCCTTCTAGAACACTCAGTACCAGCCTGTACTAATGCAGCTGCTTCCCTCGCACAGAGCGAAACTCATTAGCTAATTCCTGTTAATATCCACGACTCAGGGGGAGAGGAGGGTACAAACAGCCGATTTTCTGCTAGAGCTGAGGTCAGAACAGCTCATCACTGGCTGAGTGGCTCTGTCCCTGTCAATATCAACAGCAAAAAAAAAAAAAAAAAAAAAAAGGGAAAAAGAGCACAGACAAAAATCCAGGATTTGGGTGTGTGGTGCTCTCTGGTGTTCAGATGTGGACAGTTGTTGGCACATCTGTCTTGGGCACACAGCTCTGCCTTCTGTGAACAAAGCAGCCAGGACTTAGACAATAGCTGACTCAAGGAGGCGGTCAGCCCAGTTAGCATAATGGTCTGCAAAATGCAAGGTCTGGCAGCTCACTAATCCTGGGCTGTGCTTTCCTGAGGTAAGAATCCATCTGGCATTGACCAGCTCCCCGGACTCTCGCATGAGGCCTCTGCAGATGTCCCTCCCTCATGTTCTCACAGTGCCTGGCTTTTCCCTCGACCCATGAATCGTAGAAACGACTGTCTTGCCCCTGGTTTATCCCCAGTATGTTACATGCATGGGTCCTAGTGCCAAGGAGACCCGCAGCAAGCACCCACAGCAGGAACAAGTTCAGCGTCACTAATTCCCCTTGTCCTTGCAGAACCTGCCCCGCATGCATGCGCGCGCGGTCCCGCAGTCGCGCGCGCGCACACACACACACACACACACACACACACACACACAAAACTAAGGGGCACAGGCTTCACAGAAGCCCATCAGACAGCAGCCTTGTGCAGCTGAGACCACAGAAAGACTTCCTGTACTGCAAGTGTCTAGTCAATCGGGAAGAGTTTGGAGGAGGTATGATGGCTGGACTCTTCCTCTTAACCAAATCCCTCCTCTCTACTAGGCACCTGGGGACTCAGGGTTAAAAGCATGTCTCCCACCTGAGTGGGACATGCTGTGTACCCTAGACCAGAAAGTTTCTTCCTTTCCTATGTAGTAATGTGCATTTCACAGGAAAAAGCTTCTCAGACCAGAAGCCCAGCATTCCTTAACATCTTTAAGACAGTTCCACTGGACATCAGGAAATTTCCCAGAGCCATAGTGAACTTGAAAATAAGGGGTACTGAGTAGATAGTTGGTAAAGTGCCTGCTGTGCAAGCATGAGGGCTGAGGTCAGATCCCCAGCATTCGTGTAAAAAAGCTGGGTTTGATGTCATGCATGTAAAACCCCAGTGCCGGGGAGGAGACAGGCAGGCTCACTGCTGAACAGGCCAGGTGAGGGACGAGTTTGATTCCCAGGACTCACATGGTAGAAAGAGAGAACTGGTGTGGGATTCCCCTCTGTTCGCTGTGAATATGTTTAAGAAGCTGCTTTGGGCCTATGGTAGCACAGACTAGATAGAACAAGGTGGGAATTCCAAGCAGAGATAGAGGAGAAAAGAAGGCAGAGTCAGGGAGATACCATGTAGCTGGTGAAGGAGACAGACAATGGACGGAACTTTACCAGTAGGCCACAGCCATGTGGTGATACACAACTTAATAGAAATGAGTTAATTTAAGATGTAAGAGTTACTTCATAAGAAGCCTAAGCTATTGGCCAGTGTTGTAATTAATATATAGTTTCTGTGTAATTATTTTGGATCTAGGCGGTCAGAAAATGAACAAGCAGACTCCATCTACTGAGAACCAAGTCTCACATACTGTCCTCTGACCACCAAACATGGGTTGTGTCACGTGCCTGTGAGCATGCATGCGCATGTGCACACACACATGTACACAAATAATAAAATGTAATAAAAATTATAAAAAAATTAAAAAACTTGATTTTGAAGAATGACACCTGATATTGTCCTCTGGCCTCCGCAATATGTCCAGGACACGTGTGTGTACCACACACACCTCATACTCACACTCCCAAAACATTGTCTTTCTAGAAGTAAATGGAGACCTCTTCTTGGATCTTTATCAGACGTAGGAGAGTTGATGACGTCTGATGTCAAAGTAGACTTTATTTAAAAGTCATTTACCTTTTCAGCAATGAAGCTGCTGTCCTGAGGGAAAGGAGATGAGGCAGTTAACCAGGTCCTGCTTCCTCTTAACTCTAGGGCTACCTTTGGCACTGGTCTTCAGTCCCCAGAGGAACACAAAACAGACAGCTTGTTTAAGAAACTATAGCAGAACAAGCTAGGGCAAAAAGGCTTCTTTTCCCTCCAGGCAGCAGAGGGCAGTGGTTCCCACTCAGATCACTCTCGCTACCATCACCTTAATAAGCAAACACAGGGGACTTGTACTGGAACCAGGATGTTACTTGGGAGCGCACGTGCATGTGCATGCGTGTGTGTGTGCATGTGTGTGTGTGTTTTATTTTACCAGGTATGCCTCCCCACCCTCTGAAACCGTAATTCACCCTTGGTAAGAATATTTAACATTGATCTTTTCAGGGAACTAGGAAGCTTTTTGCTAACATCATTGACATGAACAAAGCTGGGTATGGTGACACATGCCTGTAATCTTTTTTTTTTTTTTTTTTTTTTTTTGTTTTTTTTTTTTTTTTTTTGTTTTTCGAGACAGGGTTTCTCTGTGGTTTTGGAACCTGTCCTGGAACTAGCTCTTGTAGACCAGGCTGGTCTCGAACTCACAGAGATCCGCCTGCCTCTGCCTCCCAAGTGCTGGGATTAAAGGCGTGCGCCACCACCGCCCGGCTCATGCCTGTAATCTTATCTTAGTGCTCAAGGAGGTAGAAGTGGGTCAGGAATTCGAGGTCAGCCAGGGATATATAAGACCATGTCTAAATCCATGCACGTATGCATACATCCATCATCCAGCCATCCGCCCGCCCATCCATCCATCCATCCATCCATCCATCCATCCATCCATCCATCCAGTCAGTGTGTATGATCCAAGGAAGCATCAGAGCAGCTAGAGAGAGTCCACTTACTTCTTTTTCACACAGCAGACAATGAGTACGAGGGCAAACAGCAACAGGGCTCCGCCTCCTACTGCACCAATGATGGCAGCCAAATCTGCGAGCAGAGACGGGAAGGCAGAGGAAGAAACAAAAGGGTTAGCATAGGGAAGAGCTTGACAAATCTCCAGCCCCCAGCTTCTCCCCTTCTGAACAGAGGCTAGGAACTGAGGGTGACTGGGTCCATTCTGAGCCTGATCTTTTTTTGTGTGTGGTGGGGTTCCAAGACAAGGTTTCTCTGTATATCCTTGGCTGTCCTGGAACTCCCTCAGTAGACCAGTTTGGCCTCAGACTCACTGAGATCTGCTTGCTTCTGCCTCCTGAGTGCTGGGATTAAAGGTGTGCACCACCACTGCCTGGCCAGAAACACTTTTTTTCCCCCTTTGAGACAGGGTTTCTCGTATACTTACTCTGTAGAGCAGGCTGGCTTCAAATTCACACAGGTCTGCCTGCCTCTGCCTCCTGAATGCTAGGATTAAAGGTGCTGAACCTGATCTTTGGAGAACTGCCAGCTAGTACACTTTCTTGGGGAGGAAACCAGACAATGTATAAAACGTCTATGTGGAGGCCGCCCATACTAGTCACGCAGAGTCTCCATGGATATAAAACTCAAAGGCTCTGGATGCATGTCTGCAGCTGAACTACTCCATTTGAGCTGTTTGGTGCACGCTTATGAACCAGTATTGTCGGAGCTTCTGACCCATAGTTACGAACAAACAAAATAGTTAATGTCTAAGCCAGTGGTTCTAAACCCTCTTAATGTTGAACATTTTAATACAGCTCTTCATGTTGTGGTGATCCCTAACCATAAAATTATTTTGTTTCTACTTCATAACTGTAATTTTGCTACTGTTATAAATCATAATGTAAATATCTGATATGCAGGATCTCTGATTATGTGATCCCTGTGGGAGTTGTGGCCCACAGGTTGAGAACCACTGGCCTAAGCCAATATAATTTGAAGTAGTTTGGACATAGCACATGAAACAGATGAAAGTGTGGGGGGGGGGGAGGTCACCTACTATCCACCTGGTGGCTACTCTTGGCTTCCACCAGGTGTGTTCCCTGGTAACCAGGCTGTCTTACAGAAGAAGAAGCAGAGGGGAGAGCGGGGACTCAGACGTTGAGAATGAAGGACAAAGCCATTTCCTCTGAGCTGTCCTTTCTCATACTGCACAATGGAAGAGCACCGAGCTGAGCAGGATCCACAGTGGACAGGAATTTAGGATTCCTGGCGTGCTCACCAAGAAACAAAGGCTGAGAGTCACAGGACACAGAAATAGGTGACACAGAAGGAAGGCAGGAGAGGAAGAAAGCCCAAGGGGCGACCTCGGAGTTGGGAGTTCTTAGTAGTGGCTTTTGGCGAGCTCTCTCTCTCTCTCTCTCTCGGATGTCCTTGTGTATATGTGTTGTGTTTATTGGTTGATGAATAAGGCTGTTTAGGCCAATGGCTTATCAGAGTAAAGCCAGGTGGGAAATAAGAAGAGAGAGAGAGAGAGAGAGAGAGAGAGAGAGAGAGAGAGAGAGAGAGAGCGCGAGAGCGAGCAGGTGGAGTCAAAGAGACACCATGTAGCCACAGAAGGAGAAAGATGCTCGCTGGTAGACCACGGCCTCGTGATGATACACAAATGAGATATAAGAGTTAGCCAAAAATAACGCCTGAGCCATTGGCCAAACAGTGTTGTAATTGATAAAGTTTCTGTGTGATTATTCATGTCTGGGTGGCTGGGAAAAAATGAGCAGTCTCTTACTACAGCTCTCTCCCTCTCTCCTTTCCAGGTCCTCATATCTTAATCCTCATCACTGAATCCCTGATTCCTATTCCTTTACTCTACAGGTGAAGAACAGAGGAGTGAGAATTCCCAAACATCATGGAGTCAAGAGAGAAGAATGGTAGCAAACTGACAAGAAGCATCCAGGTGAGTCAGGAGAACGTGGCAGGAGGTGCGATGTGCATGCTCCTTCCATGCTTCCTCTGGCCTCTTGTGCATCTGAGCAGGGCCAGCTATGCAGCAGATAGTCAAGAACCTCAATTGTTTCTGATGATTTTGGCTGGGACTTTTGTGAATAACAGAACATAGCCAAGATCAGCAAAGTCTTGCAATCAACCGGTACTGCCTGCAGATCCATGAGTGACTGAGCCTGAGAAGCCCAGGTCAAAACACACTTGCTCAGTCAATGTGTGAACAATAATAACAAATGCTATACGACAGCTGAGTGATAAACCAATACTCAGGACTCAATTTGGTTTTTTTTTTTTTGTTTTGACTTGCCTTCAAAACTTGCTCCCTGCACCTCAAATGCCAATTGCCTTTCCTTCACCGTCTCTGGGAGACTCTGAAAAGTCCTTACCCACAGTCCTGGGGGTGAGAGTCACCCAGAAGAGCAGATCTAGCTGCTTGCCATTCATGGGGCTGCAGTTGGAGATGTTAACCCAGAAGCTGTGACGATGGAAACTTGGCTTAGGTAGCACTTCCTCTTCCAGGCTGAAGATCTCCTCTGCCCGGGTCTGCTGCTCCTGGATGATCATGTATGCACGTCCCGACTGGCAGACCACGCCAGAACGCTCTTTGAAGAAGGTCAGACAAGCCACCTGGTTGCTAGGCACACTGATGTTCCAAGACACAGAGGAGAGGGCAGGCAGGCCACGGTCCCAGTTGGGGGTCCTCAGGTAGACCTTGTTTTTGGGGTCTGGGGTCACCGTGAAAATGCCTTCCTCTGCAGGAAAGGGTAGAGATTTGGACAGATGTTGTTAGGAAAAGGGGATAGTATGGGGGATGCTTAACAGTCCACCCTGCGCCATGCAACAGAATTTTCTGCCGTAAGTGGACATGTTCTATGTTGTTCAGTAGGCAGTCATTATCCATGTGCATCTGTTGAACACCTACTGTGTGCCCACTGTGACTGAGTGGCACAGTCAGCATCTGAACCTTCCCCCATGGCTCAGCTACCAGTCCACAGTGCTACCGGGAGGACAGAACCTTTAAGGGGTCAAGTAGAAGTAAGTTAGGTCACTGGTGGTGGCACTTCTTTTGTTTTTCAGGACAGGGTTTCTCTGTATAGCTCTGGCTGTCCTAGAACTCGCTCTGTAGACCAGGCTGGCCTCGAACTCACAGAGTTCTGCCTGTCTCTGCCTCCCAAGAGCTGGGATTAAAGTTGCTACCACAACTGGGTTGGTGGTCGAATCAACATAGTAACCAACATAGCATAAAACAAGATGTATTGAGTATCTAACAAGGATGGCTAAGAGGGTCTCGCAATGGGTGAGCAAGGGACCACCTACCTTTGAAATACGGTATGAAGGACACCGTCAGGCCATGTCTGGAGAACTCTTGTTGGAAGCTGGGGGTATATGTTCGCAGGGTCACAGAGCTGTTTTGCTTCACCTGGATCTTCTCAACAGAGCCTCCTGGACAGAAGGAGCCGAAGTACAGGTCCTGGCCAGGTGTGGTACTGGCCACGAGGTAGCCGAAGCTGGTGTTGCAGGGCCTCTCGCGCGTGTGCTGTTGCAGCTTCTGGCTCGGCACCATCATAAGGCTGAGCCTGTCCTTGGGCATCAGCAGCTTCCAGGAGAAGTTGTGCAGCTGCACAGGCAGCTGGAGGATGTCCCTGGGCACCTGCAGGTGGAAGGACTTCCCGTAGCAGTAGTGGTAATCCAGGCAGCCTGGAAGAGAAAACTAGAAGTACCCATCTGCAGAGTGGGATGGGGCGCCTGGAGTGCACCCTTCTTGGCATACAGGCTGGCCTGAGGCCAGAATCTGGGGGCTGCCTGTCTGCTTTCCTTCCTCCGCGTGACTTTTCATTAGCTTTTCTGTCTGTCCCCTGCCTCCTCTTGTCTACCAACACTGCAGCCGAGCTCCTGTGAGTACTCAGGACAGAAACACTCTTCTTGTTCGTATATTTCTTTGTTTGGGATGCTACGGCATAAGCCTCTACCCCAACACGTTCCCGCACTTCTGTGGGAGTTGTGTCATGTTGGAGCTGTGCGTGACATCATAGCCAGCTTGCATTACACCCATCACTTCTAGTTGGATGGCTTTGCACTAATCTAGCTCCTGTGATCCTCAGCTTCTGCAGTGTCAGAGACCGTGGTGTCTCAACGGGAGATGATTAAGTTTTCTTTTCTTTTCTTTGAGATGAGGTCTCATTGTGCAGCCCTGGCTGTCCTGAAACTCTCCATGTAGACCAGGCTGACCTCAAACTCACAGTTGCCTTTGCCTCCCGAGGGCTGGGATTAAGGGGTGTCCACTACTACATCTAGTTTGGGAGTTTGGGTTCTTTTTTTAAGGCAGGATCTCATATAGCTAGGCTGCAGGTAGCAAAAGACGACCTTGAACTTCTGATCCTCCTGCCTTCACTTCCCAAGTACAGGGGTGTGAACATGGTTCATGTATTGCTTGGGATAACCCAGGGTTTTGTGACTGCTAGGCTACCACTGTACCAACTGAACTTCATCTCCAATCTTGAGTATGAGTTCTGCTGCCATAGTGGCATTTCATTTGTATTTTAATAAATAAAGCTCGCCTGAGGATCAGAGAATAAAACAGCCACACTGATCAGCCTTACAGACCAGGCAGCAATGACACACACCTTTAATTTCAGTAGCCACATGAGTTTGCCATAGAAATCAGGCAGTAGTGGTGCACACCCTTACTACACCATAACTAGAGAGGACTATAAAACTAGAGGAGACAGCTCTCAGTCACAGTCTCTGAGATTCCTAGAGGCAGGAGCGCCATCTCAGATGGAAGTAGAGGTAAGAGCCAGTGGCTGGCTGTTTGTTTTTCTGAACTTCAGGTTGAATCCCAATTTCTGTTTCTGAGTTTTCATTAATCATGCATCATGCTACATTTGTTAAAAAGACTCACAAGCCACAGAAGGAGCCAGGCTAAGTCCATTTTGTTTGTTTTGTAACATAGGCTCTCATTTTTCCTAAGCTGGGCTTAAACATGCATAGTCAAGGAGTTTATGTGGTGTTAGGAATTAAAGTCAGGACCTAATGCATGTTACACAAGCAGTCTACCAACTCAATTACATCTCCATGTTCCAGGAGGCTAAGTTCTTGACTGAAAAGGAGGCAGGGAGTAGGCCAAGTGGGGAAACAGGGATGGGGCAGCTGAGCAAAGGAGAAGAGGACTTCCTCAGGGAGAGGCTGGCACGTTGGGCAGAGACAGGCAGGGACACCAGCCTGCTATGACTTTCTGAGGGATGGATGTCAGTCAGCAAACACCGGTCCTAATAAGGCCTGTCAACACTTGCCACTTCTCTCTCTTGCTCCTGTTCACCCAGCCTCAGTGGTCATCTCAGACTATACCCTTTACAACCTACCTACTAAGCGCCACTAAGATAGGAAAGATGAGGCCGGATGAGGTGGCACACGCCTTTAATTCCAGCACTCAGGAGGCAGAGATAGGTATATATTTATCTCTGTGAGTTCGAGGCCAACCTGGTCTACAAAGTGAGTTCCAGGACAGCCAGAGCTGTTACATTAAAAAAAAAACAAAAACAAAAACAAAAAAAACCCTGTCTTGAACCATCCCGCCCCCCACAAAAAAAAAAAAAAAAAAAGATAGGAAAGATGGCTCAGTGGGTAAAGGCACACGCCACCAAACCAGACAACCTAAGTTTAATCCCTGGAACATACTTGGCAGAAGGAGAAAACTGATTTCCATAAGCTGTGCTCTGACCTTCTGCACAGGCGCGTGCGTGTGTACGTGTGCGTGCACACACACACACAAACACTATTTTTTTTCCTTTTAAAGAGGGATGGGGAGAGCCTAAGCAGTCTAGGCTTCTGGGTAAGACTAGCCAGGTTTTTGATAAGGACATACTTAGGGTTTTCTCTGCATTCACCCACAGGCGTGTCAGGTCATCGCACAGGAAGGAGATCTTGTATTTGGAACCGGCTGTCAGGGTGACATTGTTACTACAGGTCCGAGACTCTAGACACACGAAGCACCCAGGAACAAACCTGCGGCCATGTTTGACTTGCCGTGGCTCTATGGTGAGCGACATGGCTCGCTCTTGACTGAGGTCCACCACGTAGGTTTTATCTGAAATCACAGAGATAAGATATGAGGCATGAATAGGCAGCTACCATGGGAGGGGGCCAAAGAGACAAGTCACCTGTTGGGATGAGCTTATTCAGATGGATGCACATGCATGTGCACATGCCCGCGCACATACGCACACAGAGTCTCACACACACACACACACACACACGTGTGGGCACTCATATGTATACACATAGAAATACACACTCATATGCACACACACAATCACATACACACACTCATATGCACATACAGTCTCTCACACACGCACACATGCGCGCGTACACACACACACAGCCACACACACATACACACACACACACACACCTCTTAAACAACAACAACAACAATGACAAACCAGCCTAGGACCCTGGATGCAGGACTGTGCTTGCTTCTTACTGCGCTAAAGCCACAGTACCTGCTCAGTGTCTGCCCGTGAGCCCGTCTCCAGGACTAGCAACCATTTCCTGAAACTCCTGCATCGTTCAGAGTCCATGTGTCCTGGCTGCCATACATGCAGAACAGGCAGCCGCCTCACCTAGGCAACACAGAGGAGGGAGGGTGTGGATTACTCACTGCTCTCATTCTGTGGACGTTGGACCAGGACCTGAAACTGGAGCCGAAGGATCCCTGGGCTCTGGGCATCTTGGTCGCAGCCTTGCAGGGAGAGATTGAAGTTTCCAGCCATGTTCCCTGGCTGCTTGTCCTCCAGCTTGAACACCTCTGGGTTGGTGGTGGATCCCGGGATGTAGTATTCAACTCGCTCCTCCTTCCTCTCACAGTTGGAGACGTTGAAGTTGAGGAAGGAGACGCTGGCCCTTAGGTGTGCAGGGACAACGAATTGCCAGGTCATGAGCTCATCTTCAGGGAAGCCTCCGGGGTAGTTGGCGGACATCAGGGTTGCTGAACCCTCACCCTCAAACACAGACTCGATGATGCACAGGCCTGTGGAGGCAGATCCGAAACAGTAAGAAACAATGTACAACAGAAAGAAACAATGTACTTGTCGTCCATGGCTAAGGGCAGGGGAACTGGGAAAAAGCAGTCTTCAGGAGTGGGGCTGCATGTGATATTTACACTAAGGGTGGGGGATAGGAACAAAGACCCATCAGGAGTGTTTGAGCAAATGTTTAATACAGACTGGGTTGTGGAGAAGCCAGTTCATTCAGTGTGCCCATCTCCTTGGGGGTTAATATAGCCCTAGGGCTTAATTACAGTTCCCAACAGACCTGAACGTGGAGCTGGGTAGGGTTCTGACATCTCACTATACACACACACACACACACTCACATACACAACCACACACACACATACACAGCCACACACACACTCACATACACACATACTCACTCACATACACAACCACACACACACTCACACACTCACTCACACATACACAATCACTCAATACTCACTCACACATGCATACACACTCACATACAAGTCACATACACACACTCACACAATACACACTCACACACACTCACTCATGCACACGCACATCGAGAGCATTAGGCAATAGCAGAATCACAAGAATGTGATTAGGTTTGAGTATTTATTACCTTTGCTTTTAAGATTTTTAGCTAATGTTTCTATAATCTTATTTTTTGTAATGTTTTTGGGCTGCCAGCCTGGGCTACATAGTAAACTTGTAGTCAGCCTGCACTAGATGAGATTCTTGTCTTAATAAATAAATAACTGCAGGGCGGTGGTGGTGCACACCTTTAATCCCAGCACTCGGGAGGCAGAGGCAGGTGGATCTCTGTGAGTTCAAGACAGCCTGGTCCACAGATCAAATTCCAGGACAGCCAAAGCTACACAGAGAAACCCCGTCCCAAATAAATACATAAATAGTTGGTACTGCATCTGGAAAACTCTGGAGCATCCTGTATATGTCCATCTGGTCAGCAGGGACAGGAGGCGCATGCTTACGTTTTATAGATGACCGGTTTGCAATACTGAAGCCTGAGATGTTCCTGGGTATGTTCCATGGCAGGTGTAAGGCCATTTTCACACCCTCTTGCATCTTGATCCGGGACACGGTGCCGTTACTGCAGAAGGTGCCAATCCTGACCTCCGTGGTGTCAATGCGGCCGCTGATGGAGTGAGTCACCCCATCTGCACAGCTCTCGCCTGGGCCAATCTGCCTCAGGCGAGGGGCTGAGAACTGCAGCTCCAGGCCGATGCTCTTATGAGCTCTGACGTCCCAGATGAAAGTTCTGTTGAGGGCAGGCAGCTCTGATGTGGATGGCTGAAGACGAACCTCCCCAAAAGGACACGGGCCTGACATGCAGTCTGTAACACAGACACAAAAGCAGTTTTGATTACAGATACAAGGCTACACGCTGCTCCTCCTCAGCTCTTTAGGATTGTGCCCAGGTGGTTGTACCACCCCTAATGCTCACTGGTGACCTTTTGCTGGTCAGCGCCTCCTGTTTTGGATCAGAGAAGCCCTGGCCCCATTGCTCGGTTTCTTCCTGGTCTCCCCTTTGCTACCCTTTAAGGGCTGGGCTGCCTCTGGGGACATCCCCTTGTGGTGGGTACTCTAGACTGTCAACTTTAAAGGATTTGGAATCACCATGGAAACAAATCTCTGGGTATGTCTGTGAAAAATTTTTCTAGATTAGATAAAGGTGGGAAGATCCACCTCGAATGTGGGTAGCACCTCACCTGGGTCCTGAATTGAGTAAGAAGGAGAAAGTGAGCGGAGCACCGGCCTTCATCTTTTTCTGCTTCTTAACTAGAGACACAATGTGACCAGTCACCCCCTGCTCCGCTAGGAGCACCAGCCTTCATCTTTGCTTCTTGACTAGAGATACAATGTGACCAGTCACCCTCTGCTGTCAAGTCTTCTCCACCATGACAGACAGGATCCCTTGGAACTCACACCCAAAATAAAGTCTTCCTTCCTTAAGTCGCTTTTGCAGGACAGACGGACACACACACAAACCCATCTTTGGACAGAAGACATCTAACACTGTTCCCCAGGCACAGTGCCTGGCATCTGGTCAGTTGTCCCCCGCTGGCCTTCTAGAGAGTTACAGGGAGCCTGCGCCTTCGGACACCTTCCTTCCTCTATTTAGATATTAGTTTCGTGGTTTTGAGGGCACACTGCCAGGCTCCACCTTCTAAACTTCCTTTTCCTTTTATATCTCATTAGCATACTGGGCATATTCCGCACACAGTTCCCCTGACTGGCTAATCTAGTGAGCTCCCTGCACCGAGGCTCTCCTGACTCCATTAACACGGCAGAGGAGTCATTTAAGGCTAATAACTAATTACATCCTCTGATACATTTCATTTAAGCCTTTTAAAACAACACGATGGTTCCTATCAAGGAGAATTTATAAAAGCCTGAAATATAGAAAGCAGGCAAAGGCACTTCAGGGTTTCTGTGTTGTACACAGAGGTTATGAAGGTGCAGTGGCCTTTGCTCTAGTAATAAGAATCTGTGGGTCCTTACTTGTGCTCCCCTTGGGTGTTTGAAATTGCTGTTGTTGGGGTTAGGGAAAGTGCTTGTAATGGGAGCATGAGGAGCTAAGTTCAAATCCCCAACACCCCATAAAAACCTGAACATGGCAGTGCAATTCTTGTAACTCCAGCATTGAAGGGCAAAAAAAAAAAATCTTTTTAAAGATTTATTTATTATTTACAGTGTTCAGTACTGTATGATTGCCTGCAGTCCAGAAGAGGGCATCAGATCTTATTATAGAGGGCTGTGAGTCACCATGTGGTTGCTGGAAATTGAACTCAGGACCTCAGGAAGAGCAGTTAGTGTTCTTAACCTCTGAGCCATCTCTCCAGCCCCCTGGATCCAAACTTTTAAAAGATCGGTGAGATTGGCCAGGTGGTGGTAGTGCATGCCTTTAATCCCAACACCTGTGGTGGTGGTGGTGCACTCCTTTAATCCCAGCACTCTGGGAGGCAGAGGCAAGCTGATCTCTGTGAGTTTGAGGCCAGCCTGGTGTACAGAGTGAGTTCTAGGACAGTCTCGAAAGCTACACAAAAACCCTGCCTCAAAAACTGAAGGGGAAAAAAAAAAGCTCAGTGAGAGACCCTGTTTCAAGGCAATAAGAGCAATGGAGAAAGATACCCAGTGTTCTGGCCTCTGCATGTGCATGCGTGGGTCTGTGTGCCTGCACATCAAGGTGCATGTACCTCTTATCCACATACAAAAGCAGGGTGGGGCGGTGCATGCCTGCAGTCACAGAGCTGAGAGGCAGAGATGGGAAGATTCTGGGGTCTTGACGGCCAGCTAACCTAGCTAACTGCTGAGTTCCAGGGTTCAGTAAGAGATCCTGTCTCAAAAACACAGCGGAGGGCAGTAGAGGAAGACAATGGACATCACTCTCTGGCTTTCATATGCATGGACATGGACGTGCCTGTACACACACACACACACACACACACACACACACACACACACACCTCTGTCAACTCCAAATAGACCTAGGAGAACTCAAGAGCAGTCTAAGACCTCTGAGATCATCCACATCAAACCTCTCATTATTGCGAAGCAGCCCTGGAGTTCGGTTGACTTGTATTTGGCCACTTGCAGATGCAGCTGGCCCAGCACTGAAGCTCTACTGTCTGTGGTCAACCTGCATTCATGTCAGGGCACTGCCCAGCCAAACCAATAAAATGGGATCAGATAAAATGGTGATTAATGTTGCTAAAATTAGACTGTGTGTCGATAAAGATCATAGCTATTTTAGGAGCTCATAGAAACTTCACTGTGTGTACGGAGCAGCTCTTAGCTTCCCACTTATGTGTGTGTGCGTGTTTGTGTGTGTGTGTGTGTGTGTGCTGTTGTGCATATGGAAGTCAGAGGACAACTTATAGGAATCAATTCTCTCCTTTACCATGTGGGTTTCAGGGATCAAACTCAGGTCATCAGACTTGGTAGCAAGTGTCTTTACCCACGGAGCCATCCCAGCGTCAGGGCAGCAGCTAGTTCTCTCCACTGTGGGATCTTAGTCCCTACCGAGGCACAGCTCTGAGACCTGGAACGCTGGATTTACCCATAGCCTGGACTACTCAACAGTTTCTGGTTTGATTCTATATCAAGAACTTTGTCAAGAAGCCCAGTCTCTAGGCTCAGCTCTGTTGCTAGACACAACACTGAGAGAGTCGCACATGAATGCGGCTGTCCTTTGTCACCAAAAGTCTTAGCCACAGAGATGGAAGTGGTTCAGTGACAGGCCTGGCTATAAACCTCCTGCCTCCTGCCCAGTGCAGAAGCTCAAGCAAGCCAAACACTTCCTCTCCAGAAGGGGACATGCCACTCGGAAGTGAGTCTTAGCTCATTCTTCCCAGCAGAACTCTCCCTTCACAAATCTTCGTGGAACTGATCTAGAATGAGTAGGAGAATCTCAGACTCCACTAAAGCTTCCAGATGTTTGTTGAGAAAGGAAATGAGGAGCCGGCACACCCCTGGACCCAATCCCAGGCCTGTATCTGTTACTTTTAGAACTGATACTTTGTTATCATCACCTTGACAAATTGTAAGCATGCATTTTCACTACCCATCAGATGATTCCGGCATCCTAATACTGAAAGACTAAATGTACTCAAATGCTCCTTAGCCCTTTTTCAAAATTAAGGTCACGTTATTGGCTTATTTGGTTATAAAGTAGCACATGCACTTAAAATGGTAATAACAGAAAGGGCAGTAGAGATGAACGAACAGAAGGCCTAGGGAATCACACTTTTGTCTGTGACTGTATAGTTCTCTGTCTTCCATTCAGCTGCAGTTTGGATGTTTGTGCACTCCCTAAGATCCACAGGTAAAAACCCAGTTCCTAGCATGGCAACACCAAGAGATGGTGCCAAAAGGAGGGAATTAAGCCAAGAGGTGATGGCATTAGGACCTTTACAAAAAGGCTCAAGTGGAAAGGATACCACCTTCTGTGCCTTTACCTTGGGCTCGCCAGTCTCCAAAACTGTGAGAAAAATACACCTCTGGGCTTTTAAATATCCAACTTCAGGTATTGTGTTTTACATCAAAAACGTCCTATGGTGAGACCCTTGTGTTTTAGATCTTTCAAGCACATGAACCAGAGCCTCACAGACCTACAGACCTGAGGCTTATGGGTCTCTCCTGTGCTCTGTGAGACTGTGTGGCCAAGTGGTTAAGAGAAAATTATTAAAGTTGGGTGTTGTGGTGCACACCTTTACTCCCAGCACTTGGGAGGCAAAGGCAGGTAGATCTCTGTGACTTTTAGGCTAGCCTGGTCTACAGAGTGAGTTTCAGGACAGCTAAAGGTATGAAAGACCCTGCCTCAAAAAGCCAGAAAGGAAGAAAGAAAGGAAGAAAGAAAGAAAGAAAGAAAGCCACAACCTCTTGCTCCTGGCCTACTCTGCTCCTCATGAGATAACTCAGACCAGCTCCACTTTGGTCTGTCCGGGTTCTCTTAAAGATTAACTGTGAGCCCATGGGAAGCACATGAACCTATGAAAGGCCACACAAGAGTCAGGCTGGAGAGCTGAGACTTTCGAGTGGACCTCTCTCCAGCACAAGAGCCTGGCAAGCCTGTGAAAGAGCTGCAACGGCAGGGACGAGGCAGCGGCTGGTGATGGCTAACTCACCGATACTCTTCTCGATCTCCAAGATAAAGTGCTTCTCTGGATTGTTGCAGCTGAAGGTAAAAGACTTTTTATCTCCAGGTTTGACAAGCAACTCAGTCACATACTGTCTAGACACGATCATGTAGCAGGGTTTCACAGGCAGGGCTGGGCTCACCAGTCTGATGTGTACTGTAATGCCACTTCCTTGGGGCAGAGCAATCTCCGATGCTTCTGAAGGAAGAAGCAGGAACAAGAGCAAAACATCAGCATGAGGTATAAGGTCTGTAACTTACCGTGGTCCCCCTGGCCTGGGAAGGGGACAGCATGAAGTGACAGAGATGACCTTTCCGATGGCGAAGATCCTGGCCCTGCTGTCTGGGTAGGAAAACCACCTCTTGTTTCAGCTGTTAACTTTTTTAAAAATTAATTTATTTTTATTTTCTGTGCATTGGTGTTTTGCCTGCACGTACATCTGTGTGAGGCTGTTGGAGTCCCTGGACCTGGAGTTACAGACAGTTGTTAGCTGCCATGTGGGTGCTTGTAGAAGGAGACTGCTCATTTCTTTCCCGGCCACTCAGACATGAATAATCACACAGAAACTATATTAATTACAACATTGTTTGGCCAATAGCTTAGGCGGCTTTCTAGCTAGCTCTTATATCTTCAATTAACCCATTTCTATTTTCTGTGTATTGCCGCAGGCTATGGCTTTCCGGTTAAGGTTCTGGCATCTGTCTCCTTCGGCAGCTACCTGGTGTCCCCATTGACTCCGCCTACTATCTCTTTATATCTCTCTGTTCATATTTCCTGCTTGGCTTTACTCTGCTAAGCCATTGGCCAAAACAGCTTCTTTAGTAACCAATGGTAATAAAACATATTCATAGCCTACAGAGAGGATCTCACATCAGGTGCTGGGAATTGAACCCAGATCCTCTGGAAGGACAGCCAATGCTCTTAACCTCTGAGCCATCTCTCCAGCCCCTGGGTTGTTAACTCTAATAAAAAATAAAAGCCACACTGCTGATCTCCTAGGTAGCATGTTTTCAGATCCCTACACATGCAGCATTAGCACAAGCAGAGAGGCACTGTCCTGTCTCTTTCCCTTGTGACTGCCTTTGCAGCAGGGTCGGCAGCAGTGGGAGATAGAGCCCTAGGCAGACACCATCTAACTGCTGGGACACTCGTTTGCAAAGACCTGCTGCAGCTGCTGCAGCTGCCGCTTTCCACAAATGCTTTACGGGCCAAGAACATACAATTGTACCACAGGGGACAGGACATTTGCTAAAATTAGAGGCAAAACACACTGGCACAGCCTTATCTTAGCTCCTTAGTAAGCTGAGGCAGGAGGATCAATGTAACCAGCTACTTTATGCTCTTGCTGTCATACCTTCCCTATATATAGCTCTTATTCAACTGTAATCTCAAAAACAAACAAACAAAACCCCTCTTCCTTCCTCAAGATACTTCACGCCGGGTATTTGATCATGACAACTGAAAAGTAATAGAATCCCATTCACATACAGCAGCCTTCTCTGATCAACTTTCGACAGCATACCTCCTGCCTCACCCCGCTGGTCCTGGGCTCTAGTCTCCAGCCTGAGGGCACCCTGCCATCTGCCCAAGGTGCCTCCTCTTGCTACCAGCAGGAAAGCTCCCACAGGAGGACAGCAGAATTCACCATCTTGTTCAGCCGTAGCCTCAGGACTCAGCTGGCACCAGGTACCCACCAGACACAGAGAAAAAAAAACAGACAAGCCCTCAAATAATTTTATGTATAGGTACAGACCTCACGGTCTTATCTTTTCTTGCATTTAATTGCTCACAAATATTATGACCACTAACTTACTGCAGTAAGGGCCAATAAATCTTCCTTGGGGAGCCAGGGGTGTACACACACACACACACACACACACACACACACACGAGAGAGAGACACAGAGTGAGAGACACAGAGAGAGAGAGAGACAGAGAGAAAGAGTGAAAGAGAGAGAGAGAGAGAGAGAGAGAGAGAGAGAGAGAGAGAGAGAAGCATGTTTCTGTTTTCTGAGACAGGAATGTGTTTTCTCAAATGCTTTGTCCTGAAATAATGCGACATTTGAACCTTCCAGAACAGACTCAGAATCCAAGGAACTCTTTACGACATCAGATCAAACTAAGAGTCACATTCAGAACTGTGGTGGTCAGTTTTATATCTGAGCTGTGATATCACAGCCCTTGTGTTGTTTCGGTAGTTGTAAAAATGTCTTCTACACTGACTATAAAAGGCTTTCAGTGAATCCTCTCTCTAGGTTTGGTCCACCCTTCACAATAGCCTCCAACCCTGGGTGGCCAAGTCAAGCTAATTCGACATCAAGGGCAATCAGGTTGTGATGCTACCAATTTCCTTCTTTCTTCTGTTTTTTCATATTTTAGCCAAGCCATAATTGAAAATAGTTATTACTGTTAATTAGTATCTTTTTTTTTTCTTTTTGTATTTCAAGACGGGGTTTCTCTGTGTAGCCCTGGCTGTCCTGGAACTTGCTCTGTAGACCAGGCTGGCCAGAATGCAGAGATCCGCCTGCCTCTGCCTCTGGAGTGCTGGGACTAAAGGCGTGGCCACCACAGTCTGGCCATTAGTATTATTTTTATTATTAGATACAAAGCAGCTAGATCAGCAGTTGTGGAGCTGGTGTAGTGGAGAAGGAGGGTGCCAAGAGGCCCAAGAGACTCTGAAGGATGCAGAAACTGCTGCAGGTCTTGACTATGGTAGTGTTGGCCTGTGTTGTACAGATACCAATATCTATCAGTCTGTCCCCGAGATGTGATGGCATTTTGTGTTATAGATTAATACATTAAAAAATGAGTTCAAATGTTATATACCTTAATACATTTAAAATGAGTTCAAATGTTATATGTTGATACATAAAAATAAGTGTTCATAAAAAGTCACGAATACATCTAGAATACACTTTAATGTCTTGTGGGGGTTACTGTCTCTCAGTGTGTGCACAAACATTTCAAATCTCTTTAAATTAGATTCAGAAGACCAAAGCAGAGTTCACCAAAATCTTCCTCTCAGGTAGTTCCTGTTTGCGAGCAAACCAGGACCCAAAGTAATTTTGGCAATTACCATGCGTTCTGTTATTAACAACAGCCAAAGAAAAACACATGATGTCTTTTAGAAATTCAGGCTTTTTAGAATCTTTGAAATAAGATATTTATTCAACAAGCATTTTCTGGATTTGTAATATGTTCCAAGGGTCATACTTGGCACAAATAATTTACTGACTGGCCAGGCATGGTAGCACATGTCTATAATCCCAGCACTTGGGAGACAGAGGCAGGCCGATTTCTGTGAGTTTAAGGCCAGCCTGGTCTACACAGCAAGCTCAGGCCAACCAAGGTTAAACAGTGAGACCTTGCTCTAAAAATTAATTAATTAGTTAATTAATAGGACTATTCAGAGTATCTAGCCCCAGGGAGCTAATAGTATAGTTTGTCAATTTTAAAAATAGCAACACTCCCAGACCTGGTGAGCCTGACATAAAATCTGTTTATCTGTACTGTTTATAAAAACAACCATTGCTCCTGCCCCTGGAAGTTTGTTTGTTTTATTTTCTAGCACTTTGGGATTCACTTTTAGTTACTTATTTTTCCATGTGAGGAACTGACTACTCCCATCTAACTAGAGCACAGCAGTGATTCACTAAGCATATTTCTATTATGGGTCTAAACAACTCAGATTTTCACACGAATTCATTATGATCTGACTCCCAACAGACCACCACCCAACTGAGTTCCACTCTCCAGCGATGTGGGATTCCCCCTCTGTATGCTGTGAATATCATTGGTTAATAAAGGAACTGCTTTGGGCCTATAGCAGAGCTATAGGGGAACAGAGCTGGGGGAGGGAACTAAACTGATGCTGGGAGAAAGAAGGCGGAGTCAGGGAGAAGCCATGTAGCCCTGCCAGAGACAGACATCAGTTGGAATCTTACTGGTAAGCCACAGCCATGTGGCGACACACGGATTACTAGAAATGGGTTAAATTAAGATGTAAGAGTTAGCCAGTAAGAAGTTAGAGCTAATGGACCAAGCAGTGATTTAATTAATACAGTTTCTGTGTGATTATTTTGGGGCTGAGCAGCCAGGAATGAAACAAGCAGCCTCCTTACTACACTCTGGTACATTGTACTGCCTGGCAACTGTGTTTTTGTTACAGTTTGAACATGGAACATTCTCAAAGGTGTATGTGGCTTGGTCCCTGAGGCATACTGTTTTGGAAACTTCAGGAGGTAGGACCTAGCTAAAGGAAGTGAGAGTGTCTTGTCCCTGGCCCCTTCTTATGTCCATGTACTCCCTGTCCACCATGAAGTGAAGAAGCCATCACCACACACATCCTTCTGCTGCTGCGATGGTCCGCCCAAACACACAGGGCCAAGCATGCGATGGTCCACCCAAACACACAGGGCCAAGCAGCCATGACCTGACCCTTAGGGACTGAGACAAAACAAATCTCTCTTCCCTTAAATTGTTTTCTCAGGTGTTTTAGCAGTGGGAACGGCAACCAGTTCATTATCCTTCAGTGACCCTAGTGATCAATCCCACTAAGCATCCAAAGGAAATACTGAGTTACAGACTCGTGCTCAGCATAGCCATTCCCATGCACACTTGCTGCAGGAGCGGGGAATTTAATTCACAGGCTGATTTCCAGGGTCACAGGCAAGGACTCTCACGGCTGCCATGTGTATCTGCCCCCCTCACTCTGAATGATGTGCAAGACAACAGAAAGGGCAGAGAGGAAAAGAGGAGGTAAGGATTCCATCCAGGGCTCCCTATTCCCACGTCAATGCTCCAGAGGCCATTACTTCACTATAATGAGGGATCATGGGAACGGTACTGCTTGCATAAAATAAATCAGGAGCTCATTTGGTCACAAATACCTGGAATTTGAGAACACTTTGTTTACATGGCTTTTTCCTTGCACCCACTCAACCATTTATCATACCTTGAAATTGGAAAAACCAACCCTGGGAAGTGAAACCTCAGCCTTTCCCGCCCACTCCTCTGTTGCGCCTGGCACACCAGAGCCCTTGACGGAATTACCGCAGTTTGGAGGAGAGGGAGGAAAATTTTCTTCTTCTGCGTTTCTTTCATCTCTGTAAGGATTTTATACTTCACTGGTGGAAAGTTCAGGTTTGTGACCCTAGCTAGTGCAGAGAAATACAGAAGACACTCCCAATACTGGTGCG